CTTATACTTTTAATAAATTTTTTAATACAAATACAGAGTCTATGCAAAAGTTACTGGGTTCACGGGAACCGTAACCTTTGCTCTAGATCCGCCCCTGCAAAAGGCTAGGTCTTTATCAGCTAACCCACCCCTCCCCCAAACCCCGGTGGTACCGCTGGAACTATATATATATGGTAAAAAATTCAAAACAAAATCCTCACTTACTGGCCGAAAATCCAAATGACAAAAGCCTAGATCCGAAGTACGTAAATCCCTTTACTGGAATAGGAATAAAAACAGCTATGATGAATTTACATAGCGACTCATACGCAATTGTCTTAAGAGACTTATAAATCGCAATTGGGATTTGCGACTTATAAATCGCGTTGGCACTTTAAGTTCCTTCGGTCATTTAGCCGTAATTGTTGTCGCTGTTCTCTCTCGCCGAGGTGGATGTGCCTGAATCCGTGGTAGTTCACGCAAAGTTCTACTACGTCCATCTTATTTTATATGATTTAGTTTAAATCTAATTTTAAAGAAGGCATGTAAATCGCAAGATTGGACTTATAAATCGCAATAGCTGAATGCGGTCGACACCCTATTTGGTCATCCCCATTTAATTTATACTCACTTTTTAAAAAAATTTTAACTTGTACCCACTGTTTAAACAACTTCAGGCCTCTTTCACCTCCTCCTTCATTTTCTGAATGTTGAAGATTGAGATATTGTTATGTGGTCTAGCCTAACTTATATTTGCTATTTTAGCTCTTTACAACTAAAAATTAGCTTCTAGATCGTCCAGTTCGGAAATTCTAATTTTAATTGCCACTGAAACATAAATGTGAAAACTCCGTAGTAACCCGGGTATTGGTTGACAATGGGTCAAGTGCAAACATCTGTCCTCTCTCCACTTTAAGCAAATTAAAAATTAAAGAGGAGAGGATCCAGAAGAATAGTATCTGCGTACGGGGGTTTGACGGTGGAAGCAGAGATTCATTTGGCGACATAGTGTTGGAACTAACAATAGGGCCAGTTGAATTCACAATGGAATTTCAAGTGTTGGACATAACTGTTTCTTACAACTTGTTGTTGGGTCGACCATGGATCCATGCTGCTAAAGCAGTCCCGTCAACACTACATCAGGCTGTCAAGTTTGAATGGGATCATCAAGAAATAGTTGTGCATGGGGAAGAAAGTTTAAATGCTGGCAGCAGTACCATTGTACCAGTCGAGAGAATAGAAAATGACCAGGGACCATGGGTATACCAAGTGTCCGACACAGTGTCGGTAGAGAAAATTCCAGAGGGGAAGTACCTTCCGAATCCAAAGATATCCTCTTGATTCCCTATGCATTAGGTGAAGATGTTACTTTTACTAATGGTTTTGTTTTATAGGGGTATTGCTTTTCAAATTTCCTGATAATTCCATTATAGGAACTGGATCTTAATGACAACTTGTCATTGTTGTTTTAGAACTTCAGCTCTAAGAATGCTGAAGTTCAGCAAATACAAAACAAACTTCAGCCCTAAAGTTCATCACAAACATAACAAAGATTCAGCTAAAACATGCTGAAGTTCAGCAAATATAGAACAAAACTTCATCTAAAACATGTTGAAGTTCAGCAAATAGAGAACAAAACTTCACCTACTAGAATGCTTAAGTTCAACAATTAAAAACAAAAACTTCAGCCAACACTTGGTTCAACAATTTTTGCTACTTTAGGCCCATCTACTAGAATGCTGAAGTTTGTGTGATTGTCTTTGCTACTTCAGGCCCGTATGCCTGAAGTTACGCGAAAAGTGGGTACGTTTGTAATTTTTTTTGTAAAGCGGGTATAAGTTAAAACATGACCCAAAAAGAGAGTATAGATGCAAATGCCCCAACCGATTCTTAGATTTTCGTGTACCCGCTTTTTGGGTCACGCCATCTGCATAGGTTCGGGCGACCGAACCCGGATCGCCTAAAATTTTGCCAGCCCATAAAAAACGACCTAAGGAACAATAGTCATCGTCGTCATGACCGTTCATCATTTTTTGGCGTCTTAGTGCCATAAAACTAGAATTTCACCCGATTCCTATATTTTCGTGTGCTATAGCCCACGACATCTACATGGGCCCCGGCAACAGACCTGCATCGCCTAAATTTTAGCCGGCCCATTAAAAACAACCTAAGGACAAATAGTCACGCCTCTCCATGGCCGTTACTCATTTTTGGCGTCTTAGGGCCATAAAACTGAAATTTTGCCCGATTCCCAAATTTTTATGTGATATAGCCCACGCCATTTGTATGGGCCGGGGGACCAGACCCGGATTGCCTAAAATTTTGCCGGCCTGCCAAAAATGACCTAAAGAATAATAGTCATCGTTTCGGCATGACCGCTCCTTTTTTGGTATTTTAGGGCTATAAAACTTTAAATCTGCCCGATTTTTAGATTTTTGTGTGTTATTGCCCACGCCATCTGCATGGCCCGGGCGACCAGATCTGGATCTCCTAAAATGTTATTGGTCCATCAAAAACGACCTAAGGAACAAAAGTCATCGCCTCGCCATGACCGTTCCTTATGGCACACGCTATCTTCATGGGCCCAGATGACCAGACCCAGATCGCCTATAATTTCGCCGGCACATCAAAAATGACCTTAGGAACAATAGCCGTCTACTCGCCTTCACCGTTCCTCATTTTTTGGCGTTTTAGGTCCATAAAACTAGAACTTTGCCTTATTTCCAAATTTACGTGTACTATAGCCGAGCTCATCTACATGGGCCCAGGAGACCGGATCTGGATCACCTTAAATTTTGTCATCCCATAAAAAATGACCTATGGAACAATATCATAGCCTCACCATGACCGTTCTAGTTTTTTGGCGTTTTCGGGAAATAAAACTTTAATTCCATCTGATTCTCAAATTTTCGTGTGCTATAGCTTACAACATCTGTATGGGCTGGGCAACCAGCTTCGGATCGCCTAAAATTTTGTCAGCCCATCAAAAATGACCTTAGGAACAATAGTCATCACCTCGCCATGACCGTTACTCATTTTTTGGTATTTTAGGGCCATAAAACCGAAATTCCGCCCAATTCCCAGATTTTCGTGTATTAGATGATCGAACTTGGATCACCAAAAATTTATCGACCCATAAAAAATGACCTAAGGAACAATAGTCATAGCCTCACTATGATTGTTCATCATTTTTTCGCATTTTAGTGCCATAAAACTAGAATTTCGCCCGATTTCTAGATTTTCATGTGTTATAGCCCACGCCATCTACATGGGTCCGGGAGACGGACCTAGATCGCCTAAAATTTAGCCGGCTCATAAAAAATGACCTAAGAAAAAATAGTTATCACCTCTCCATGATCGTTACTAATTTTTTTGGCATTTTAGGGCCATAAAACTAGAATTCTGTCCGGTGCCCTGATATTTATGTGATATGGTCCACACCATCTGCATTGGCCCGGGAGATCAGACCTCAATCACCTAAAATTTTGCCGGCCCATAAAAAATGACCCAAGGGATAATATTCATTGCCTCTCCATGACCATTCCTTATTGTTTTGGCATTTTAGGGACATAAAACTTTAATTCCGTCTGATTCCTAAATTTTCGTGTGGTATAACTCACGCCATCTGCATGGGCTTGGGTGACCACACCCGGATAGCCTAAAATTTTGCTGGCCCATCAAAAATGACCTAAGAAATAATAGTCATCGCCTTTCCATGACCGTTCCACGTTTTTTGCCTTTTTAGGGTCATAAAACAAAATTTTGCCCGAATGCCAGATTTTCGAGTGGTATAGCCCACGTAATCTGCATGACCCAGGGCGGCCGGACCCGAATCGCCTAAAATTTTGGCGGCCCATCAAAAATAACCTAAAGAATAATAGTTATTGTCTCGCCATGAGCGTTATTTGTTTTTTGACGTTTTAAGACCATAAAATTAGAATTTCGCCCGATTTTCGTATTTTCGTGTACCATTAGCCCACACCATCTGCATGGGCCTGGGCGACTAGACTCAGATCACCTAAAATTTTTCCGGCCCATCAAACATAACCTAAGGAGCAGTAGTCATCACCTCGCCACGACCGTTCCTCGTTTTTTGGCCTTTTAGGGCCATAAAACTTGAATTTCACTCGATTCTCAAATGGGTGGGTTCGAAGACCCGAGATGTTGATGGGTTTAAATTGTGGGTCTTAGGACCCGTGAGGGGTAATAATGGGGTTTCTTGGTTGACAAGGATCTTAGGAAGCTAGTGGTAGAAGTTAGGATGGTGAACGACAGGTTGATGGCTATTAAGCTAGTTGTGGGAGGGTCTACTTTAAATTTGATTAGTGCTTACGCGCGTCAAGTGGGTTTGGACGAGGAGAATAAGAGGCGCTTTTAGGAAGAATTTGACGGGTTGGTTCATGGCATTCCGCTCACCGAGAAGTTATTCATATGAGGTGACTTCAATGGTCACATTGGGGCGACATCTGGGGGTATGACGGTGTGCATGGCAGCTTCGGCTTTGGAGTTAGGAACAGAGGAGATACTTCGTTGTTGGACTGTGCTAAAGCCTTTGATCTGGTAATTGCCAACTTGTGTTTTTCGAAAAGGGAGGAGCACTTGGTTACATTCTAAAGTTCATTGGCCAAGACTCAAATTGATTATCTACTCCTCCGAAAATGCGATAAGAGTCTGTGCATGGATTACAAGGTTATACCAAGCGAGAATCTCACGACTCAGAATAGATTATTGGTGATAGACTTAAAGATCGCGAGGAAGAGGAGTTTCGAGGGACGTGTATGGTCAACCCATGATCAGGTTGGATGCTTTGACTAGTGACAAAGCGCAGAAGTTGGGGGGAGTTGTTGGCTATGGGATCCTGGAGGAGCAGTGAGGACGCGAGCTATATGTGGACCACGACAGCGGAGTGAATTAGAGTAGCTGCGAGAGAAGTGTTAGGGGTCTCGAAGAGTTTCTCTAGCAACCACAAAGGTGACTAGTGGCGGAGTAAGGAGGTACAAGAGAAAGTGGAAGCCAAGAAAATGGCATACTTGACGCTTATAGAGAGAATGGACGAGGAGGCGAAGATAATGAACAAGGAAGGGTATAGGAGGGCTAAGAAAGAGGCAAAGTTAGCAGTTACAGCGGCTAATACTGCAGTGTTTGGGCTTTTGTATGAAGAACTTGGGGCCAAAGGCGGGGACAAGAAGCTATACAGGCAAGCCAAGGTGAGAGAGAGGAAGACACATGATCTGGATCAAGTTAAGTGTATCAAAGATGAGGAAGGTAGAGTTTTGATGGAAGAGGATCATATTAGACGAAGATGGCAGACATATTTACCCAAATTCCTGAACGAAGAGGGTGATAGGGACATTATGCTGGGCAACTTGGAGCACTCCGAGATGCACCAGAATTTCAGGTATTGTAGGCGCATAAGAGTAGAGGAGGTCAGGGGGCCTATGTGTAAGATGCACAGGGGTAGAGCTACTAGGCCAGATGAAATACCTGTGAAATTTTGGAAGAATGTGGGTAGGGCAGGTTTAGAGTGGCTTAGTAGGCTATTCAACATCATTTTTAGGACGAAGAATATGGCCGTTGAATGGAGGTGGAGTACGATGATTCCTCTATATAAAAACAAGGGCGATATCCAAAGTTGCAATAATTATAAGGGGATTAAGCTGCTAAGCCATATTATGAAAGTTTAGGAAAGGGTAGTTGAAGTGATAGTGAGGACCAGTGTGTCCATTTTTGAGAACCAGTTCGGTTTCATGTCGGGGCGTTCGGCTATGGAAGCAATTTATATTGTAAGGAGATTAGTGAAACAGTATAGGGAGATGAAGAAAGACTTGCACATGGTGTTCATTGGCCTAGAGAAAGCATATGACAAAGTACCAAGAGAGGTGCTCTGGCGATGCTTGGAGGCTAAAGGAGTCCCAGTAGCCTAGATTAAAGTAATTATGGACATGTATGATGAAGCTAAGACTCGGGTTTGGGCAGCGGGAGGAGACTCAGAACACTTTTCGGCTATGAGGGGTTGCACTAGGGATTATCTCTAAGTCTATTCCTATTTTCCTTGTCGATGGACGCTTTGACGAGATACATTTAAGATGAGGTTATTTGCTGATGACATAGTTTTAATTGACGAGACACAGGGTGGTGTTAGCGAAAGGCTGGAGGTTTGGAGCCAGACCTAGAGTCTAAGGGTTTCAAGTTGAGTAAAACCAAGACGGAATACTTGGAGTGCAAGTTCAGCAACGGTACCAGGAAGGAGATGTGGAGGTGAGGCTTGATACGCAAGTTATCCCCAAGAGAGGTAGTTTCAAGTATCTTGGATCTATAATATAAGGTAATGGGGAGATTGATAAAGATGTCACGCATCGTATCGGAGCAGGATGGATGAAGTGGAGGCTCGCTTCCGGTGTCTTATGTGATAAGAATGTGCCGCTAAAATTTAACGGTAAGTTCTACAAGGTGGTATTTAGACCGACTATATTGTATGGAGTAGAGTGTTGGCTATTTAAGAACTCTCATACCTAGAAGCTAAAAATAGCTGAGATGGGGATGTTGAGGTAGATGTATGGGCATACCTAGTTGGATAAGATTATCAATGAAGTTATACGGGAAAAGTTAGGAGTGGCCCCTATGGAGGATAAGATGTAAGAGGTGAGGTTGAGATGGTTCAGGCATGTTAAGAGGAGATGTGTAGAAGCTTCAGTTAGAAAGTGCGAGCAGTTAGCCTCGGTGGGAAGCAGGAGAGGTAGAGGTAGGCCTAAGAAGTTTTAGGGAGATGTTATTAGGTAGGACATGGCGCAGCTGGAGCTGACTGAGGAGATGGCCCTAGACAGGAGGGTGTGGAGGTCAAAGATTAGGGTAGAAGGTTCGCAGTTAGTCGAGCGGTTCGCTTTGTCTTACTCAGTTCGCTAGATGAAGACCTAGAGTTTGACTGCATTCTTGGATTCGATCTTATTTCATATTGATGTTATTCTTACTTGTTGCAATTATCTTTTCTTTTTCAGTCGTTTTCTAGCAGAAGGTCTATCGGGAACATCCTCTATGCCCTTCTAGGGGTAGGGGTAAGGCTGAGTACATCTTACCCTCCCAGACCCCACTTGTGGGAAACTACTGGGTTTATTGTTGTTGTTGTTGTCTCAGATTTTTGTGTGATATAGCCCATACCATCTGCATGAGCCCGGGCGACTGGACTCAGATCGCCTAAAATTTTGCCGACCCATAAAAAATGACCTAAGGAACAACAGTCATCGCCTCTCTATGACCGTTACTCGTTTTTGGGCATTTAAGACATTACATATTTCACCCAAGAATCGTCTACTCTATTCCATATTTCTTTCTAATTTTCAAAGCAAAGTCGTAAACCTCAAGGGGTTCATCAATACATTTGGAGACACTTTCCCTTTACATACACCTCTTTGCCCATACAATTAGCTTTGGTGTCTCAATTAAGACTAATTAAAGAGGTAGTGTTCCCTCTAATATCTTCTTACATACCCAGGTTCGAACCGGAAATTTCTGGTTAAGGTTTGAAGGATCTTATCTATTCCACCACAAAGCTTGGTGGGTACGTGTATTATATATATATATATAATTAGTGAGTTCAGTTGGATCTACTGAAAAATACTACATTTGTCCCTTTGGTTGCCCTTGTTTTTCGCCCAAAATCATACAAGTGCAGCTTCAAGATAGCGCACATGAAGAGTTATATGTTGTGCTAGTGGCTGAGTGCCTACGAATTCTAACAAAGGGATTTAAAAAAAATACAAGAATGCTACTGGAAGAATTTGAACCTATGACACAACTATTTTTAAGTCATCTTTGTCTCTGCAGTAACAACTTCTCTTATTTCGAAGTATAATTATTTGACAAAGGATTCAATTGAACCCCCTCGAATCATGTAGCTACACCGCTGGTTGTGCTCACATAAAAGAACATCAATCACCTATCAGATCTACTATATGAATCCTCAGCATTTACCCGGTCTTATATATTCATATTCATTTCATTCAAATACCTAATACCTGGTCCATATTGCAAAATTAAGAGACAACGGTTCTTAGGATTATTGCTATTGTATGCCAAGTTTGAAGAACCAGGTCCTCCAGTTAGGGACAATTATGTTGTAAATTAAGTAAAATATAAATAAATAAAAGTATTTTATTTCTCATAATTTAATCTTTTAGATGAGGTGGTTCACATATTAAAATATGATATCAGAGCATACAAAAGTTTCGAGTTTGCGAAGATTCGTCTACATTATTCCATAATGCTTTCTTATCTGCAAAGCAAAGTCATAAACCTTAAGAGGTTCAGCAACAGATTTGTAGACACTCTCCCTTTGCATGCACCTCTTCATCCATGCAATCAGCTTTGGGGTTTCATCCTCTGTATTAAAATCTCCAAACTTCTCATATGTATAAAACCAACTGCAGAATCCTATTAAAGCAATGTCCAAGAATCCAATTTTTTCACCTCCAAAATAAGGTTTTTCTCCAAGAATTCCTTCCAACATCCTTAAGCTATCTATGTAGTTTTTCTTCTTTGTCTGCTGCTCTTCTCCTTTATTCATCCATAGGTTACGCCCCGAATCAAACACCTGCCAGAAAAGTTCCTGAGTTAATTTTGAGTAATCACAATTTTTAACCACAAAGACTCTCTCAAATGTTAGCCAAAAAATACATGCTAGTTGAGGTTTGAACCTCTGACTGCTTAAAGCAAAATCAGGCACATAACCAACACAACAGGAGGCAATCTATGTCAAGTGGTGTCATTTTTTTCAATTTATTGGTTTTTTCATAGTATTAATACATATATTTAGTAAAAATTTCCTACAAAACGGTGTCGCGTGACACCACTTCCTTGTAAGTATGTCCGCCCCTGAGTTTTGCTACATATGTAATATAGTCTAAAATGAAAGCAATGAGTTCAATTGAACCTACGCCGGCAACAACACACTTTCCTCTTTATTATTTGGAAACTTGACGTTTGATAAGCACATAAAATTTATTTCTATCAAGCATCTTTCTAAATAATCTATTCGGAGAAGAACTTAACTTATATACACTAACAACGTAAAGATTTTTACACTGTCAATGTATTTCAACATGTTATAGAGGTAATACTGATCCAAAATTTTATGACATATTCATGTAATTATCTTTTAGGCAACCTGATAGTGTATAAGATTTGACATTGTCGGTGGGTAGAAGCTAAACTCTTGAAAAAAAAAATTATTACCTTTTCCACATAGTCAGCCCAGAATATAGCTTCATATTTTTCATAAGGATCAAAAGGAAGAAGTTGAGCTTTGTCCTTCCAGACCTCATCAATATACTGGACTACATTTAATGATTCAAAAACTGGTTTTCCATTGTGAATCAAAACTGGTATTTTCTGGTAAACTGGATTCATTTCCAAAAGTAAATGACTTTTTTCACCTAAGTTCTCTTCTTTGTACTCATATTTAACACCTTTTTCAGCTAGTGCTACTCTGACTCTCATGCCATACATACTAGGCCAGAAGTTCAATAGAGTCACCTCATTTTCTGCCATTTCTTGATCAAGAAAACTCATTTATTAACAATAGGAAGTTTTAGTTGATCAATTTGATAGATGTTGATGCTTATATAAATCTATTCTTGAACTGCTGGATTTTGTAAATTTTAGCTTATGTATTAACGAAATGTACTGGAGCCAGACTTTCATAGATTGTGACAATATCTACCTGGCATAGGGCGGACAGCTGATCCATAACTTTCGATATGGAGTGTAAATATATATGTAAAAATCTCTTAAAATTTCAACAAATATTAAATTTGAACCCATAATTTTAATGGCATAATTAGTTCAACAAAGTTGTACTCATTAAGTTTCAATCCTAGATCCGCCTCTGACCTGGCATGGCTAAAGGTTCCAGTCTGTTAGATAGCAACTAGCATATCAAATTGCATAATATTTTAAAGAGTTTAAATTTTGTGCGCCGACAATATATAGGTTATTTTATATTAGGTAAAATCGACTTATTATAGTAAATATACTTTCATCTTTACTCAAACAAGTAATGAGGCAGAATGCAAATCTGATTAAATTACTAAAGATTACTTTGCAAATGTAGGTTCTTTTGCCTAGATCGATAGGACCAAGATTTTCAAGTCTTGTCTTGGCTAGGCCAGGGATCTAAGAGTTGTGGATATCTTGTACTGAATGTCACTCTATATGTCAAGCCAATATTGTTATTTTTACTTAATTTCAGTCAAGGCTCCAAATTTATGGTGTAGTAAAGTAACATATGTAGTAGTAAAATAGAGCTAACTATCCGAATCCTTTTCCTTCTTTTTTTTCACAATAGTGGTGCCGAGCCACTATTGTGAAAGACCCTTTCCCTGACCGTGCATGAACACGGGATCGATGCTTTATGTACCGGGTTGCCCTATTAGTGGTGCCGGGCCAGTTTGCACGAACTTCAGCAATTCCAGCAATACTTGTTGGCTCAGATAACTCTATCCACCTAAACTTAAGCGAAAGAAATCACCTAGCCGCTAGCTATCTGAAATTTTCAATTCATATTTACGTAATAGACCAGAATTCAGAAAAGGAAGAACACACATCTGTTCACATTATTCATATCCAAAATACATGAAGTGGGAGGCAAAACTAAGTGCTATTCATGGATTATGAAGCACATGCGTATGTTTATTCCATTCCATGATTCTTTCTAAATACTTGTAGCATCTCATATATCTTATGAGGGTCAGCTAGAGACGTCGAGACGCTCTCCCTCTGCATACATCTCTTGCCCCAAGCGACGAGCTTGGGGCACTCGGCCTCTATGCTGAAGTTACCAAAGGTCTCATAGGCATAAAAACAGCTGTAGAATCCAATCAGGGCAATATCCACAAAACCAAAGTTTTCCCCTCCAATGTAAGGCTTGTCTCCCAATGCTTCTAGCTCCATTAACTTGAGTGAATCTATAAATTTCTTCTTTCCTTCCTCATGCTCTTCTCCTTTGGTTGTCCATATTTTTCGCCCAAAATTATACATCTGCAATTTTCAAAGATGTGCCAAACAAATATTTATTTGTACTTGTGCTAGTCGGCACGGGGCAGCCCGATGCACAAAGCATTCAGCATTCACACAGGGTCCGGATAAGGGTCGCACCCCAAAGGGTGTGATGTAGACAGCCTACCCTAATACAAACATTAGTGGTTACTTCCACGGCTTGAACTCGTGATCTATAGGTCACACGGAGACAACTTTACAGTTGCTCCAGGGCTCCCCTTCTGCACTTGTGCTAGTGGCAGAGCCAAAATTCAAACAAGGTTAGAAAAATGCAAGAATGTCGCACCTGGAATTGGAACCTACGACCTTAAGAAATGAGCAAGAAGTGCCTCATCGGTAGAAGTTTTATGTCAAAGGGAATCAACATTTTATGCATATACAAATAGAAATGATTTTTTTACCCTATTTGCATTGTATAATTCTCCACGAAAGGAATTCAATTAAACCCTTTCGGGCCATGTAGTTACGCCCATGGTTACACTAACTCACATTAAAGAACAACAATCAACTACTGGATCTGTTATATGAGTCCTCTATATCTACTCGATCCTACTCCTTTCTATTGACCGAACCACGTTAAATATTTGTGTCTCTTTTGTTATTTGATTTATCGTCATTGAAGGTATGCTTTGTTGGCTTCTTCATGACACCTGATTATTTCGATTCTAACGATATGGTCCTCTATATCTACTCGATCATACTCCTATCTATTTTATTCTAATACTAATAATTTGTTTACATTAAGAGAAGAAAAGCATAATATTAGGATTTACCTTGTCAATGTAGTCACCCCAGAACCTAGCTTGTGCTCTCACATAAGGAACAAAGGGCAATAACAATGGAGTTTTGTCCTTCCAAACCTCATCAATGTACTCAACTGCAATGATAGATTCACAAATAGGTTTTCCATTGTGAATCAAAACTGGGATTTTCTTGTGAATTGGATTCATTCTTAACAAGTCTTCTTCCTTGTACTCATATTTGATCTCTTTTTCGGCTAGTGCTATCCTTACCCTCATTCCTAACATGCTAGCCCAGAAATCCAATAGAATCACCTCATCGTTCTCCATTACTAGCGCAGACCTTATCTCGACCTTGTACAGGTAGAGAGTTTGTTTTCGAAACAAAGGCGGATTTAGGGGGACAAAAGGGTCGTCGGAAAATTAGACTGTGCAAAATTTGGTTTGTACTTCCATATATAATATTTGAAATCCCTATGTTTCCTGACTTAATTAAAAGGAGGAAGAAGACACAACTCAATAGAAGTTATTTATCTAAGTATTGTGGTAGAGCTGGTATCACATGTTAAGACAAGTATGCCACTGCTTACATTATGATTTATGAGTCATAATTGATTATTACTTCCATCTTTGTAGAGAATTTTTTTAAAACTTATTTGATGCTTTAAGTAGTTGATGATGATGGTAAACATGTTGTCCTTCCTTCAAGGTCCTTCAAGGAACAGAAAAATCAAATATGATAAGAAAATCAGGACAAACACTTTACCCTTGAATTTGGCCAGACATCTGCATTTAATGAAGAATGGCTGGGGTAGAACAGGAAACCATTAGTTCAAGATTAAAATGGCTCAACTTGAACATGTATAAGGCACGATATTAACTCTGTGGAATTTGTCAAAATCCCACATCGGTGGGTTAGCCATTTTGGTTGGGAAATTTTCCCTATAAAAGAAGGTCTAATGTTTAGGATTTAGACACACCTCTCATTTGCCTTCTCATCTGTTCAAGGCATTTGTATCTTCTCTCTTTAGTATTATTTCACTTGTATTTTTGGAGTGAAATAAAATATTGGTTGTGTCCGAGGAGTAGGCAAAATTAGCCGAACCTTGTAAATTCTGGTGTTCCCTTTATTGTTGCTTTATTGTCTTATTTATTATTTGGTGGCTGTCATAATTTTTGGTATAATAGTTGTGACTTATTCACACTATATACATTTGGCTTCCGCAACAAACTCAACCCTGTATTTCAACAATTTATGAAAAGGAAAAACAACATATATGTTCACATTATTCATATCCTTATGACATAAAATAGGTCTTTATATTCAAATAGTCACTTTATTACATAAATATAGTACTCAATAAGCCAACGTTTATAAGGTAGGGGTAAGGTCTACGTATACATTACCCTCCCCAGACCCCATTTATGAGATTACACTGAGTTCGTTGTTGTTATTTGTACAAAACAAGCCAGCGCCAGGCGATTGTCTTTATTCCTAGAAAAATATCTACTCATACTCCAATTCTGAACCACATGAATATGTTTATTCTACTCCATAATTCTTTCTAAATTCTAGTAGTACCTCATAAATCTTATGAGGGTCGGGCAGAGATTTGGAGACACTCTCCCTCTGCATACATCTCTTGCCCCAAGCAGCAAGTTTCGGGCACTCGGCCTCTATGCTGAAGTTGGCAAAATTCTCATATGTATAAAACCAGCAGTAGAATCCAATCAAGGCAATATCCACAAAACCAAAGTTTTCACCTCCAAAGTACGGCTTGTCTCCTAATACTTCTAGCTCTAGTAACTTGAGTGGATCTATCAATTCTTTCTTAGCTTCCTTCAACTCTTCTCTTTTGGTTGCCCATATTTTTCTCCCATAATCATATAACTGCATTTAACGTGGTTCGAAAGAATCAGGTGTTATACAAAAGCTAGCAAAGCATACATTCAACGATGATAAATGAGATAACAAAAAAGAAATATACGAAAAGAAACACGAACATTTAACGTAGTTTGGTCAATTGAACTACATTCACCGGTGGAGATAAGTAATTCACTATATAAAAGAGATAAGTAATTCACTATATAAAAGAGAGTACAAAATAACAAGGAAAAACCTCCCAAAAGTTCACTCTTAAAGATATAAAGAGGTTCACACAAGTGACACGGTACTCGTGTCACACAAATTCTCCCCCTAGGCACTATATCCTGAATGCAACTAAATGAGAAGGAATGATTTTTAAATTATAAATATTTAAAAAAATTTACTCCAAGAAAAAAATGACTAGTCAAATACGGGAGATTATATGTTTTCCTTCTTTAAAGAGAAAGGAAAATTAAATATTACAAGAAATCAAGGTAAACACCTAACAACTTATTTCCAAGTTGTCAATTATTGAGAATTGTAGAGTAGAATTGAAGAAAATTTTGGAGAACATTAAGAGATTTATTGAGTCTTGAATAAATTGTTCTACGATCTTGTAGAGAATCAAATAGTTTCTGCTGCCGCCGAAAGTCATTAACCAATTGCCACCCGTCCGGCGGCCAATGATTCATACATAAGAAATAATCATGTTGAGAAGGATAACAAATAAATTGTAAATTTAAAGAGGTACAAGCAAAGGATAAGAGGTTTTTTTTTTTGACGAATCGGATCGACAAAGGGCTGAATCTCAGTAGATCGTGGCAACAAGGCCACTCTGTCACTTACAATACCCTGTCGCAATCAAAGGGTAACAATTTGTTTTTAAGGACATGGTAAGGTAACATAATTTTAAGATTTACCTTATCAGTGTAATCAGCCCAGAACCTAGCTTGTGCTCTCTCATAAGGATCAGAGGGTAACAATGGAGCTTTGTCATTCCAAACTTCATCAATATATTCAACTACAATTAGAGATTCACAAACAATTTTTCCATTGTGAATTAAAACTGGGACTTTTTTGTGGATTGGATTTATTTTCAGAAGCAAAGGACTTTTAGCAGTAAACAAATCTTCTTCCTTATATTCATATTTGATCTCCTTTTCAGCTAGTGCAACCTTTACTCTCATTCCAAACATACTAGGCCAAAAGTTCAATAGAATCACCTCATTCTCCATTCTTGTGCTGTGAAAGAAAGCTTAAGTTGTTAATAAGTTTAGAATAGAAACTACAAAGGTAAAAACAACAAATTCAGTGTAATCTCACGAATAGGGAGGATAATATATGCGCAGACCTTACCTTTACCTTATAAACGTAGTAGAACAGAAACTAGTTTAGCTTAAATGGTTTGGTTGAGGCTCTATAATAAATAGCATTGGAACTTTATTCTTTTTCCTAACTTACTTGATATTCAAGAATCTTGACACGTGGCCAACACACAAGTCAGAGTTTCAAACTTTGTGTGCAACAAAATTCAAAGTTTCAACATAGGCAGGCTCCATTTTCTTAGAAAATGAGTTCTCATCCTTTTTTAATTGATCTCTATCCTAAAATATCTAATTATGTATATTATAATCTGAATAAGATGAGGACCATACTTACATCACCAGATGGAGGGAAGATATTCAGATTATTATATAAAATAACAACAAACTTATTGTAATCTAATAAATGGAGTCTGGAGAGGCCAGTGTTTACGCAAATTTTATCTCTAGAAAGATAGTTTTTGAAAGACCTCGACTTAAGAATTTTTATTTGAAGTATAAAAAAATAAACTTCTATACAACTTTCTTAGCCAATCCCATAAAATATCTTATATCATATAAAATCTCATCAAAGACAAATACATGAACTTAATCCAAATGATTAGCAATTATTGGTAATAAACAAGAATAGCCACCCAATGTCACTTTCATCTACGACCATTAGTGGGAGACAACACAATTGCTAAACAGACTTTTGTTTTATTGATTTTAAATTTAATGCCATAAGTTCATATCTCAATTTTTATATTGTGGGGCATAAGAGTGTCACGCCCCAACCTATTGGAACCCGGTGTTGACTAGCTCGAGCAAACCACTCTGTAACTCATTTATTTTTTCTTCTGTAACTATTATGAGCCAATATGGCCACAACTCATAATATATAACTATAAATGGAAAAACGTTGTATCAATGAACCATCGTTCTTAAAACATGAAAACATATGGGCCGTCAAGGACTCTAACATACTGTACAAAATGAACCTCTGTCTATAAAGGCTCTAAGATTATTTGATATCAAATGGGACAAGGTACCGGCCTACCCATAAGTCTGTAGCAAAACTCTGCACGATGACTCATAGACTCGGCTGCACTCCGAATGAGGCGGAGTCTTACCGATTCTTCGTTGAATGCCAATCTCGTCTACTATGAGGGTTCATCAAACTGATTATCTATACCTACAGGCATAAATGCAGTGTCCCCAACAAAAGAACGTCAGTACGAATAATGTACTAAGTATGTAAGGCAGAACTGAAACATAACAATAGGTCAACATTAATTACAGACATATAAGAATCAACGTGAATCTCTGAAGTGCCACCGTATATGCATACTTATTATACTAATATATATATATATATATATANGATTAGTGGTAACTGCTCGGCCGACCGCCCGTAGCGCGGTGGTAAATGTATGACTATCCGACTGGCCGTAGCTCGATGGTAAATGTATAACTGCCCAACCGGTCGTAGCTCGGTGGTAAATGCATGAAGATGCATGTATCACCATATTATAAACATTAACATTCTTATCATATACCTCAATAGACTTAGGAACATACTTAGACATGCTTGAATATCATTTTACAGGAATGAATAACATAGACATCCTTAACTGCTAAGAGTAGAACTACTTATAAAATAATATTATATTTACGTTTCGTTACTTGGACTATGCCAAAAGAAGTAAGGATTAGCCTTAACATACCTGAGCTGATTCTCTTGTCACTCCCTCTAACACGCGTTAATTGCGACAAAACACGTAACGGCGGGTTGAAATAGGAAAAAATCTGTATGATATTTTTGTGAAAGATTGTACCGTGCTCTCTTAAACTCACATACCACGCTATTCTATCATTATAAAGATTCATATGAAGTCTTGTTGAGATTTTCCATTTGTTGTCTCAAAATTTAGTCCCTTTTGATATGCTACGTAGTGTTTTGCTGAAATTTCTATGAACATGAAGTTGGAATTTTCTTTGCTATAGGGGTTGGATAGAAAATGGTAAAAGAGACATGAAAATGGCACAATCCGTGTGCTGTTAAAAATAGTAGCCTTTGCAAGATTGTACATCTTACTTGAATTGTCTTTATCAAAGTGAATGTGGGCCACTTAGGTATGACTTGGCCTACAGTTATCTCCTAAAGATGTGAAAATAGCACGGTATAATCAGTTTTCGGACTAGTCATTCAAAAATAGCTAGCGTTTACGAAGTCAATGAAAAATAGTCACTATTTTGCTGCAACAGAAACCGGTCTAGCATAATATAATGGAGTTCGGTGCACCTGTGTATGAACTCCAGCATATTATGCTGGACCGATATACTCTGCTGACTCCAGTATAATATACTGAAGACTGGAGCACCGGTGCTCCAAACTCCAGTATATTATACTGGACAATTATACTTGCTGGAACTCCAGTATATTATGCTGGAGTTCTAGTGTACTTATGTTGGAACTCCATCATATTATGCTGGAGTTCCAGCATACTTATCTTGGAACTCCAGTATAATATGTTGGAGTTCAAGCATACTTATACTGGAACTACAGTATAATATACTGGCGTATTTTACGGATTTTGAACAGTGTTTTTGCTCAGATTTATTTTTACATAAAAAGTGACTAAATTTCGATTACTTTTAAAACTGGCTATTTTTGAACGACCAATTGTAAATCTGACTATTTTTGAATTTCTCCCCTTAAAGATGCCATCTTTCACATGTATTAGGAGTCACTATATGGGCTCTAAATCAAGACCCCTTGGGCTGCCACGTTAGGTGGCTAATCAAGTTTATCCAAATAATCTAATTAATTAGTTAAACCCACATTAAAATCACTAACTATCCACATAATTGAGAATTATCTCAAATTACTTAAAATACTACTCACTTTTAACACATTTTACACACGTTACTATCATGATCATGTGGTACCTTGTATGACACTAGTCTATAAATATCGGGTGTTATAGCTCGGACCGTATTTTATCCCATAATATCAAACTTCGACAAAACTCATTTTTTTCAACTCGTTTACCCTATGACCTTCACGACACATACTTATCACTTGTTATAAATAGAATTAATAATTATAACCTCAAAAATAGTCTTATCCTTGAACTTATGTCAATTATCTTACGACAAATCCAATATACAATACGGGATATAACAAAGAGCATGTTTGGATTGGCTTAAAAAAGTAATTTTTCAGCAGAAATAACTTTTAAGCCAAAAGTAATAAGCTGAACTTGTTTTAAGCATTTTAAAACTTATTTTAAGTACTTTTTGACTTTATCAAACACCGAAAAAAACTAAAAAGAGATTAAAAGCTTATTTGACCAACTTAAAAGCCATTCCACAATATTAGAGCAAAAGTTGAAAAGGCCGGAGGCAGAGGTGGACGCACACGTGGAGAGCGGGATCATCGGCACCCGAAAACTTCAACAAAAATCTCCATGTATATTTTCATAGAATCTCATAGATTTTGACTATTTTAAACTCTGTCATGCTGAAAGGTTCCAGTCTTCTAGATAGCCAGCATAAAAATGACTTTGTACTAATCACTAATCTTCATCATTTCTTTTTTATAATAGGAAAGATGAACAAAATTAACTACTACACAAGTTTCCTATCAAATTCTGTATAACTCTCTTCAATCATATCAACTCTTTACAAAGAATATTAAATGATATCAAGAAGTAATGAAGGCATTAAGTGGAGCAGATGATATTCTTAGTTGCATGTGCTACTTCATAGTTTATGTTCATACACCATCCAAAAATTGTAGATGCATACAACCTTAAACATAGCTAGCATTTGGACATAAATTTAGTTAACACTTGAAAAAATGAGTTTTTAAAATTGTATTGAAAAATAGTTTTTGGAAGTTAAAGTTATGTTTGGATATGCATTTTACTTGAATCCACAGTATTTACAAGAAATAATAAATATGAACACATAACTTAAAGAATATATCTGGTTTGAAACCATAAACTTAAATTCGGGATCCGCCTATAACTAAAGACATAGTTGATGACGTTCCTCGTTGGGTAGTGGTGCATTTAATTTGAACATCAGTCTAATGCAAATGTAATGCATTTTGTAATAATTGTAATGCCAATATGGCATTTTGCATATCAGTCATTGGAATATGTACATACTTTTTAATCCTAGGAATATCCTGGTTTTGAACCAACCGATATACTGCAAGAAACTGTATCTTCCATTCAGGGGCGTATCTAGATCTTATTATATAGGTTCATGTGAACCCATGCTCCTTTTCCTAAACCATGTATAACAATATTATATTTTTTCAGAATTACTTAAATATATGTTCGTGCACCCATGATTAAAGACTCCTATGATACAATAATTATTGGTTGCACCTTTACGAGTGAAACTGGCGGTTCAAATCCTATGCACCTTTACGAGTGAAACTGGCGGTTCAAATCCTACTTTGGACAGTCTTGTTTTCGCCACGAAGTATAAATATATACATGAAAATCACTAAAATTTTAAAAAGAATATAATTTTGAACCTATAATTTCAAAAGTGTCGTGGGTTTATGGTAAGAGCCTAGAGTTAAACACAACAATTGTGAATTCTAGGTTCACATCTTTACAATAGTGCACACATCCTCTTGAAATCTCAGATCCGCCTCTGCTTACATTCGCCAGTACAAACAAAACTTACCTCTTTGAGAGGCCAATGGATCTTACCTTTTCAAATGGAACCATACAATTAAAGCAACATGGGCTGTGCTTTGTGATCTGGCAGAAGAATTGGCATTTATTGCTGTAAAATTCTTGTGTCGTGCCTCTATGTATTAGGACTCAGGGCAGAGCTGTAGTTCCACTAACGGGCTCGGCAAAACCTTATAGCTTTGATTCAAATTTTGTATTCGTGTTAAAAAAATTCACCTAATATTTATGAACAATTTATCTCGAACTCAGTAGCTATCTTTTTTTAAAATTTAAAAATCATAAACTCAAAATCCTAACACAGTCGTCTTTATAATAAGACTATTTAGTAAGCCAAAAGAGCAGTCATTGTTGAGGAGATTTGTGAAAAGAAAAAGATCTAGTGAAAGATGCGGAGTCATGACACTGCTGGTACACTGAAATAGCACGTACG